AAAATGGAGAGCTTCGTGTTGGGGTGAGAAGACTCATGAGACAGCTAAATAATATGCCATCTTCTGTTATATCCAGTCACAGCATGCATCTCGGAGTTCTAGCTACTGCTTCTCATGCTGTTTCGACTGGAACACTCTTTTCTGTTTTTTACAAGCCACGGTTTGTTGTCCTTATTACGTTATTTACTTTTACTCTGATACCACGAGTTCTTTTTCCCTCCCCAAGTTAGATAATTTTACTGTGAATAATGGGCTTTTGTACTCGAGTCGAGTGTTCACTTTTTCGATTGCTTTGTAATTTGTCTGTTACAAGTGGAAAAATCCTGAATATTCTTCCTTATGGCAGAACAAGCAGGTCTACATTTCTTGTGAGTCTAAACAAGTACCTTGAAGCTCAAAACCATAAACTCTCTGTTGGGATGAGGTTCAAGATGAGGTTTGAAGGAGAGGAGGTTCCTGAAAGAAGGTAACTGTCTCGTGCTCCCCAATCTCTTTTTTCCTTTCATTGTTGAGTTGATATATTAATTTATATTATATTCTTTGACAGTTTTAGTGGAACAATTGTTGGTCTTGGAGATAATGCATCGCCTGGATGGGCTAATTCTGACTGGCGATCTCTAAAGGTTAGCTAATTCCGGAATAATGCTTCTCATGTTTTTTTTCCTGAAGTCCAGTCTTGAAACATTATGTGATGTGTATTGATGCTGTTCTCCCTCTTTCTCTGAGTTCAATATCTTATATGGATACTAATACAGAATAGTTAACACAAACCTTATTGTCTAAGATGCATGTTTGAACATAGACATTCATGAAATGGCTGGTGTTTGGAATGATAAAAAGAAAAGATTCGTGTATTAGCTGAATTTAAAAGCCCTTGGGCCTTAAAGAGTTAAAAATATATAAGGATTCGGTGGTAACTGTTAATTGCAATCAGAATGTCGCTGAAATGTGTAGCAGGCATTTGCCAGTGCAGTTTGGGATTTTGCTTTATATGTAGTCTCTGGGGGTTTCCCTGAAGAGGCAGCCCAGAGACCTCTGCTTTTGCGGATCTTCTAATTTAGAAAGGTGGAGCTGTAAACTTTAGAAATGGAACAGAGATATGAAACGACATTTATCTTCCTTGAAATTCACTATTATGCTTAATAAAGTTTGTCCCACTCTTTTTATTGAAGTCTAGCTGTGTAGGTGCTCATAGGATCCGGTAGGCTTAAATATTGACTTTCGGCCATGGTGTATTTTATATACTCTTTGGTTGCATATAATTTTAAGAACTAACTTCGGAGTATTGGTTGATATAAAGGTGCAATGGGATGAGCCTTCATCTATTCTGCGTCCAGATAGGGTGTCTGCCTGGGAATTGGAGCCACTTGTTGCATCTAGCCCTCTAAGCTCTCTGCCTGCACAGAGGAACAAGCGTCCACGACCAGCTGTTTTGCCTTCCCCTTCCACAGATGCAGCTGTACTCGGTAATATAACCCTTCTGAATGTTAATAAATCATTGTTGATTTAGATGGAATATTGTTGACATTATCTTCATATGTACTAGGTGGGTGGAAACCTACGGTTGAATCTTCTGCTTTTTCATATACCGAGCCGCAGCGGGGAAGGGACCTATATTCTTCACCAAAGTTCAGTACTGCTGCTTCAAATTCACTTGGCTTTAATGGGAATAATTCTCTTGGCGCTGTGTCCAGCAACGCCTACTGGTCTAATACCAGTATGGTGGAAAATGTTATGGACACTTCATCTCATGGAGCAAAAAGAGAACCCGTTGAAAAGAAACAGAACACTAGGAACGGATGCAGGCTCTTTGGGTTCCAGCTTCTTGGAAACTCCAATGTAGAGGAAGCTTCTCCAGTTTCAACACCAAAAATGGTGGGCGAGGATAGGCCAGTTCCACCTATAGATACAGCATTTGACCAGCATTTTGACCCATCGAACATTCACCGATCAGATATGCCTTCAGTAAGCTGTGATGCTGATAAATCATGCCTGATTTCCCCTCTAGAGTCTCAAAGCAGACAAATCCGCAGCTGCACAAAGGTATTCAATCCATCAGCTTTTCATCACTTCGCCCCATCTCTTCTAATTGCTCTGAAGCAGTTCTGGTTGAAGGGGTTTAACTGTATGGAATATATTTTTTTATACGCAGTATTTCATTATGTATGAAATTAACAAGGGAAGGTTACTTGTATATTTTCTCAGGTTCAAATGCAAGGAATTGCTGTTGGGAGGGCCGTAGATTTAACACGGTTCAATCAATATGATGATCTACTTAGGAAACTGGAGGAGATGTTTGACATAGAGGGTGAGCTTTGTGGCTCGGTAAAGAAATGGAAGGTTGTTTACACCGATGATGAAGATGATATGATGATGGTTGGAGATGATCCTTGGAAGTAAGTATTTTGAACCCCCATCCCCAAACACACCCAAATTCATGATTATCTCAAAATCTTTTTTTGCCTGTTTAATATTAATATGGAACAAATCAAATGCTATCACCGATCTTGTGTTCATCTCGATTTAGTTGAATATTGAGTGTGGTTTTGTTGAAGTAGCTGTACTTTTGAAGGCTTGAGCATGATAAAATGAGACTTAGTGATAAGGAACCACTACAAAGGAAAGAATTACTTTATTGATCAAATACTTTAAGGCAAGAACACTTGTTTGAGATTTGAATCATTCCACAGGCAAGTTCGATCATGTCAAGCTTGAATGATTCTAAATATGTCATCTAAACTATATAGAACTGCAAAGAAACTTAGCCTTTGGCTGAAAGAAAGCACAAATGCTCTTTTTATTACATCTTCTGGTCTCTTTTATAAACATAGCATACATGAATTTATATAACCTCAAAATGAAAATCCAAGACCATGGAACTTTTATACTTTGTGACACTGTAAATGTAAGCTTAAAGTAAATAAAAGTTTTAAAATGCATTAAAGAAACACCGTAATTCTAGATTATCATCCACTCAAAATTTGTAAGCATTCATTCTTCTTTAATGCGGTATGAATTGCAACATCTTGTGACAATTTGAATAACATCTTCTTAACATCTTCCTTGGAGTTTATGTTGCATGATTGATACTTTGGTACATTAGGTTGTCTAAAATTTGGGTTTGTCTTTCCTAAATGATTGCAGCGAGTTCTGCAGCATGGTAAGGAAGATATTCATCTACACGACAGAAGAAGTGAAGAGACTGTCGCCCAAGATAAAACTCCCACTCAGTGGAGAGATGAAGCTCAGCAAGCCAGATTCTGATATGGTTGCCAACCATACGGAGGATCAATCGTCCATCAGCGGATCAGATTGCTGATGGAGACGTATCCTTTGTCATATGGTCGTTGGCAGAGGAGAAAGAAAATGTGGAATGTTCACCAGAGGAGTGGGAAAGTGGAAGAAGAAATGGGTTATATTGTGGTAAGATTTTATCGGTAGGTATCGTTTGTGCATGGGTTGGCTGCTTTCTTTTGACTGCCAGTGGAGTGGGATCTGGAACGAAGTGTTGTTATATTTGCACTTAGAAGTACCAAAGATTCCGGCAACGAAAAGCTAGCTGCAGGTGCTGCTACATATATGAGGGGTGGGCTGGTAACTGGTGAAGGCTTTCTAAGCTTATCAAAAAAGTGAGGAAATGAATATGTTAATTGGGTTGTTTGGACTTGGAAATGAAATATGGGTTAGAAGAAAATACTGACCCTGTGTTTTAAGATGTTGAAATTAATATTTTTACGTAATAAGGTTCAGTTCGGTTATTTTTCGGGGCTTTTCCGTCCCCTGATTATAAAACCGTGCAAGTCAGGTCCAGCTTGCCTTTTTGTACATATGAATTAGGATGCTGTGTTTTTTCACCATCTTGATTGCAGGAGTCTCTTTTTGTATGGGTTGTCAATGACAATTAGGGAGGAAGAAGCCCAAACATCTTCCACCCTTCTTAATGTAAATGTAATATTTATGATTATGTATTGATTTGGATTTTGGAGGTTCTACTGCTGCCTCCTCCTCAGGCAGTATATGATCCTTTGTTTAATTCTGAATGTTCCAGTCTAAGAAGTCAGTTTGTTCCAGCAAGAACAAGCTATTACGAATAGAAAACTATTACGAAACAATAGTTGTTTTTAAGTTTCTGTCGTCATAAACTTACATGGGAACACATATCAGTAAAATATTCACAAAAGAAGCGGGTTGCCCTGAATATTGTTGGGGTAGGTGTATGCATTATAATAAAGATTTGGTCAAATTTTACCCCCTTGGTTGGTTTACCGCTGAGCAGATAGCTAATTACATATTCTATACCAGAATCATAACTAGAATATAGGTTATTCAGTTTCTTCTAGGGAAAGAAGGGATGATCAGAATGGTCATGACTAAGATTAGATGTACCTGATTTCGATCCAACAACACGGCAGAGCTACTGTTCTCGACTGTATCCTTGTCCAGTGATTCTACTGGTGATTCTTCTCTCACACGTGTTTCTTTCGCACCCTCTGGTGAAGTTTCAGTAGTAAGCAAGTCCTCTGGTTCAACCATTGTGCCAACCTCGGCCTCTTTCAGATGCAATTGTCTATCCCAACCAGTTGATGGAGTCGAATGTATTGTTAGTGATGATTGTGGAGAGGTCTCTACCGCAATGCTTTGGACCATGAAATGATCTCCTTGACATTTGACCAATGCAGCTTTGGTTAGAACCTTGGGCGTACGTATAGGTGGAGAAGAACACTCTTTGTTCGGTTGGTTTTCGGTATTGTTAGCAACACTAGCAGAACTTGAAGTCGTGATTGGTCCAGCTGGAATGACTGATTGTTTTCCTTTTAGGTGTCGGGTTTCTCGACTACCTGTAAAACTCGGATGCAGATAGTCTGGATGCACTCTAGTGATTTCATTAAAACTATTCAAGTTTTTGAGTTTAGTTTGTAATAAATCTTAATAATCGTCTTGTAAACATTTAGTACAACTTATATTTCAAATGTTGTATTGGCAGAGTAATGAGATACGTATATTATAAATAATGCCTCGAAACATGCACTGAAAATCTAGTAACACAAGGAGTTGTGGAACATTGATTGATGTCTAAGACAAAAGTAATCAAGTTCTTTGGGGTTAAAAATACAAAACATAATTGGTGAAACCTGAATTCATTCATAGGCCATCACCAGACACAACGGTAAGTTACATGTGATCTAGTCATGTCACCATCATACGTTACTTTCACAATCTGCCCCTTCTCGAGTCCGTAGTATCGAGCAATGGCATCCGTACGTAGCATACGAGGAAGCTGGCATTACATCAAAAGTCGGCTTAATTAAGCAAATGTTGGTAGTTTAACAAATATATATCAAGATTTGTTGCACTACTTCAATTCATTTTTATACCACATATATTAGGTTTTCAGAATTCATATTTTTCATACAGGAAGAACAAACCAAACTCTCAACAACTGAACCAATGAAGGCTTGGAAAGGAGAAATTGTTGGTCATTCAAGAAAAGCATGTTTACCATGAGAAGGGGTTTTGTTTCCTAAAAAGCCTTCTTCAAAGGTTTACAAAGCATAAGGCAACTGCAGACACAGACTAATATCTATACAGATTTTACCTGTTTTTCCTCTATACTGTATTGTTCCAAAAGCTTTTGTTTTTCTTCCTCCGTTAGCACCTGATGGTTTGGCTTTAATGCATGCTTTGTGATATTAACCAGCAAGTCAGTAATCTGGTAACAGACAAAAACTCAATCAACATATGAACCTTTTAAGATTATGGATAGCCCTTAGCCTTACATTAGTAGTCTAAAGCAACATTCTACATCATGCAACCACTCTCATAAATACTACTGCATCAATTCCAAAATCCAGTTTTCATTAATAGATTGTAGCTTACACATACAACAGGGTGCAAAATGTTTTCCATATTTCACATCTAAGGTGGTATAAGACCGAATGAGAGGACATAGAAGGGTTTACTAAAGACTCAAAGTTACAAGGAAAAAAAAAAACCCCTCTAAAATCCAAGGACTCGAGAGTCGAATATTCACTCTTCCAGGCTGAAACGAAACACCCTCAACCGAAGTATGGAGGTTACGTTAATGATGTCCATCGTTTCCCTATGCCAAAGGGTTCCTAGAAGTGACCTTCAAAGGGTTCCTATTGAAAGCCTTGTTCAAGGAGCAGTCATGAAGATGAGAACCATACTTGCTTGCAATAACCCTATGTCAAAGGAAGTCATGAGTTAGGTAGAAAAGCACCACAACCACTTAGCTAAGACGACCTCAACACAAAACCTTAAGTTCCATATGCCTAATCCCAGAGGACCACAGGGTTGGACACCTCCTCCCACCTAACTAAATAGGAACCCTTCCCCTCATCAACCCCTTCCCACGAGAAATCTCGCACAAGCTTCTCCAAGGACTTTAAGGAAAGAAAGCAAGTCAGAATACCACACCACCGATTGAATGAGAGTAAGCCGACCCATTTGAGAGAAAGAACACCTTTTCCAAGAAGCTAAATGCTTTTGCATCTTACTCATGAGAAGATCCCAGAAAGACAATATACAAGGGTTATGACCAAGGGGAAGATCTAATAGGAAGACAGGAAAGAGGCAACCTCACAACCAACCAAAGCAGTTCATCTATTCAACTTCCCTAGCTCACAATTCACTCCCAGAGAACATAACCATTATAAAAATTTCTTAGTGAAAATTTATGGAATAGATATATAAGATGACAAGATTCTCATCACCCTTTTTCAGGAAAGGAAAAAAAAAAAAAAAAAAAAAGGTTTGCAAGCTTTCCCCTATTTCTGCGGTTCATTTTTCTTAGGGTGACTCTCTTGTATCAAATCTTGAGACCTCAGTTTCTTCTTCTAAGTAATTTTTGTTTTCTACCATGACAAACTCTTACTCCCCCACCCTTTTAGTGTTCGGGTTCCCCATGTTGCAGTTAATGTTCAATTTAACCAGTTTATGTTGTTGTAATTAGATAACAACCTCAGCAGTGTCTATTGTGAAGATCACATCAGAAACTGAAGAAACGAACCTGGAATATTTCAACCTTGAACGAAAAGACCTCAACTGCTTTCATGGCTTGGTTTGTAATTTGATTTTGCACAATTAGAATGAGACCATGCAAAGTTTCTTTGTTAACAATTTGGCCCGCAATATTGCGAATAGCACTAACCTTTACTGCACCAGTCCCACAGAATATTACAAGAATCTGCAAAAACAATGATCAGTTTTGAAATAATAATTAAATATGTTAGACTACTTGCATAACTATGAAGCATCATCATTAAGACCTATATTTCTATTGTACAATAATTTCTATGTTTCGTCCACATATAGAAAAATACTTCACTCAGCATCAATGTTGAACCACAATTCACAACAAATACTTCCATAAGCCAATAATAAATCGTAAACTACTAAAGATTGGTGTGAAATAAGGTGTTTGGTGTGAAATAAGGTGTTCAAAATTCAGAAGCACGATTGCATCGAATAATTTCCAAGAAGGTAAGAAGTTTAGTCCACAGAATTTAAACGATGATAAAAAAAAAGAAGGAAAAAAACATGCACCGTTATCTTCCAAACAAAATTCAAAAGTAGCATGCCGAATAAACGCTCTCGAAGTAACCAAATACTATGAGAAACTACAGCACCTCTTTTCGTACTCACATTGTCCACCCTAATTTGCTATGACCAACAAGACGCCGCAGAACAAATTAAGCAACCGAGGCTTAAATAAATCGAAGGGAAAAAAAGAAGAAGTGGTGGGGTGTTACTCTTTTGGAGGGATCGGCGCGATGAGCAGCAGATAGTTTAAGGCGATCGACATCGAGGAACTGGCCGTAAATTTCTCGGAATTGTTGGAGAGTGAGGTCGATATCAGAGGGGTTGATGGTGTAGCCTCGGTCCCTAAGCATCTCCAGGACTGTTCTGCGAGAAAGATAGTACCTATGGCTCTCAGTGGTGCCATCGTCGATGTAGCTACTTAAGCAAGTGCCTAGCTCCACTCGATTCGGTTCTCCCAAAAACCCATCTTCCTCCATTTTCGCTCTCTCTCTTCCCGGATACAGCTTCGCGTTTCTTGGTTTGAAAATGGGGAATTATATATATATATATCTTAAGTTAAATACTTGTGATTTTTGAGAGCTAGATTTTAATGAAAGATTTTGAAGTGGGTACCCTTTCGGGATGAACTAATGGAATTTGGGGGTAGGGTGTAAGCCAAATTTTGAGGTTATGGACAGAAACAAGGCCGGAATAGCAGTAAATAACTCCTCATGGAGAGAACATAAATAAATAATTTTGTTGTTGATGAACACCACCGTTGGCTACCTAATCAACAAACAAAAACCCTGCCCATGATCAAAACTTTTGGAATGCTCAACCATGATCTTCATACATCCTAAATAAACTAAATTTCCATTCAAATCAAAATAGAACATTCACCTATTCATTTTTTTTTTAATTTAGAGATCAATTAAACACAATATTAGAAGCCGAAGGTCTCACTAAATACAAAATTAAATTTTAATATGTCAAGGATATTGTAGGCACCAAATAAAAAAATTCAGAGATGGCGGGATATATTTAAAATTTAAAAAGATTGAAAATTTGGATATCCATTAAACATTTTTTTTGAAGTTCATGGACAAAAACTCTCAAAATTTAACCTTTTAGTGTATTTGCTAAGACATACGAGCTAAATGAACTAAATTATAATTGCACTCGTGTAAATTCTAACATCCAACCTGTTGGTGATAGATTTTCCCCCCTCCCCGTAAGGTTTAGGGTTTAGGGAAAATGGCCCGTGAGCGAAAGTGTATAAGTTTTGTATTTTAACCCAACATATGTGTACAATTCATCAGACTTGACTGTTCGTTACTGATTCGTTGAAAACGATCGAAAGAAATGAAGAATTCACATAATGATTTAGGTGCCAAAATGAGGGTCTTCTCGCCAGGGTTGAAGTTGTGAGGTCTTATCGACATGAGTAAATATTTTTTTTCTTCCATATTTTAAGCTTAGGACAATATTTAGTGGAGATGGTATGATACTAAAACAAGAAAACAACGTTTCAGACCGAGTTAACGACCCTATGTCAAAGTGGAAAAAAGTTCCTACGTTAACACTTATGAAATTTGACTCCATAATGGCCCGTGAGCGAAAATGTATAAGTTTTGTATTTTAACCCAACATATGTGTAAGATTCATCAAACTTGAGCATTCCTTACAGATTCGTTGACAAAGATTGAAAGAAACTAAGGTTATTCACATAATGATTTAAGTGCCTCCATGTGGGTCTTCTCAACAGTGTTGAGGCTGCGAGGTCTTATCAACATGAGTAAATTTTTTTTTTTCCCATATTTTAAGCTTAGGACAATATTTAGTGGATATGGTATGATACGAAAACGAGAAAACAACATTTAAGATCGAATTAACGACCCTGTCTCAAAGGGGAAAAAAGTTTCTACATTAACACCTATGGAATTTGACTCCAAAATGGCCTGTGAGCAAAAGTGTATAAGTTTTGTATTTTAACCCAACATATGTGTAAGATTCATCAAACTTGAGCATTCGTTACTGATTTGTTGAAAAAGATCGAAAGAAACAAAGAATTTACACATAATGATTTAGGTGCCTCCATGAGGGACTTCTCGACAGGGTTGAGGTTGTGAGGTCTTATCAACACGAATAAATATTTTTTTTTCTCCCATATTTTAAGCTTAGGACAATCTTTAGTGAATATGGTATGATACTAAAATGAGAAAACAACTTTTCAGATCGAGTTAACGACCCTGTCTCAAAGGGGAAAAAAGTTCCTTTGTTAACACCTATGGAATTTGATTCCAAAATGGCCCATTAGCGAAAGTGTATGAGTTTTGTATTTTAACCCAACATATGTGTAAAATTCATCAAACATGAGTTTACAGATTCGTTGATAAAGATCGAAAGAAACTAAGGTTATTCACATAATGATTTAAGTGCCTCCACGTGGGTCTTCTCG